ACCTGGGAGGCATGGTGGGTGATGCAGAGACATGGTGGGTGATACAGAGGCATGGTGGGTGATGGAGGTATAGTGGGTGACACAGGGCATGGTGGGTGATGCAGGGCATGGTGGGTGATGCAGGGCATGGTGGGTGATCCAGAGGCATGGGAGTGGTCTGGAGGTGTAGTGGGTGACACAGGGCATGGTGGGTGATGGGGCATGGTGGGTGGCCTGGGGGATGGTGGGTGACACAGGGGCATGGTGGGTGATCTGGGGGCATGGTGGGTGACCTGGAGGGTATCGTGGGTGGCCTGGGGGCATGGTGGGTGATCTGGAGGCATGGTGGGTGACACAGGGTATGGTGGGTGACACAGAGGTATGTGGGTGCAGGTATAGTGGGTGGGAGTATAGTGGGTGACACAGAGGCATGGTGGGTGATACAGAGGCATGGTGGGTGACACAGGTATGGTGGGTGACACAGGAGATGTGTGGGTGACACAGAGGTATGATGGGTGAGCAAAGGGTATAGTGGGTGTGGAGGGTATGGTGGGTGACACAGAGGCATGGTGGGTACAGGGCATGGTGGGTGATGGGGGCATGGTGGGTGATGGGGGCATGGTGGGTGATGCAGGCATGGTGGGTGACACAGAGGTATGGTGGGTGATACAGGAGGTATAGTGGGTGACACAGGGCATGGTGGGTGATGCAGGGCATGGTGGGTGATACAGAGGTATAGTGGGTGGCTAGAGGTATAGTGGGTGACACAGGTGTTTGGGTGACACGAGGTGACTGGAGGTATGGTGGGTGGACAGGGTATGGTGGGTGACACAGGGCATGGTGGGTGATCTGGGGCATGGTGGGTGACACAGGTGTGTGGGTGACACAGGGTATGGTGGGTGATGGAGGGTATGGTGGGTGACACAGGGGGGCATGGTGGGTGACACAGGGGCATGGTGGGTGGGGCATGGTGGGTGAGTGCAGAGTGTGGTGGGTGATGGGGCATGGTGGGTGTCTGGGGTATGGTGGGTGACCTGGGCAGTGGGTGATGTTGGGGTGGTGGGTGACACAGGATATGGGTGATGGGGCATGGTGGGTGACACAGGAGTGTAGTGGGTGACACAGAGGTATGGTGGGTGACACAGGGGATGGTGGGTGATAGAGGCATGGTGGGTGACACAGGTGTGGTGGGTGACACAGAGGTATAGTGGGTGACCTGGAGGTATGGTGGGTGACACAGGGCATGGTGGGTGATGGGGGTATGGTGGGTGATCTGGAGGCATGGTGGGTGACAGGCATGGTGGGTGTCTGGAGATGGTGGGTGACCTGGAGGTATGGTGGGTGACACAGGTGTGGGTGACACAGGGCATGGTGGGTGATGCAGGGGCATGGTGGGTGATCTGAGGGGCATGGTGGGTGATCGGAGGTATGGTGGGTGATACAGGGGCATGGTGGGAACCGGGCATGGTGGGTGATCAGGGCATGGTGGGTGACCTGGGGGTATGGTGGGTGACACAGAGGTATAGTGGGTGACACAGAGGGCATGGTGGGTGATACAGACTCATGGTGGGTGACACAGAGGGTATGTGTGGTGAGCACAGGCATGGTGGGTGTCTAGGCATGGTGGGTGATGCAGAGTTATAGTGGGTGACACAGAGCATGGTGGGTGTCTGGGGTATGGTGGGTGATCAGGGCATGGTGGGTGATGCAGGTGTGGTGGGTGATGGAGGTATGGTGGGTGAGCCTGGAGGGTATGGTGGGTGATGGGGGCATGGTGGGCACAGGTGTAGTGGGACACAGTGGGGTGACCAGGGGCATGGTGGGTGACACAGGGTATGGTGGGTGACACAGGCATGGTGGGTGTCCTGGGCATGGTGGGTGATGGAGTATGGTGGGTGACACAGGGCATGGTGGGTGATCTGGGGCATGGTGGGTGATGGGAGGCATGGTGGGTGATGCAGAGGTATGGTGGGTGACACAGAGGCATGGTGGGTGATGCAGAGGCATGGTGGGTGATACAGGGCATGGTGGTGATCTGGAGGGTATGGTGGGTGACCAGGGGGCATGGTGGGTGATGGAGGCATGGTGGGTGGCCACAGGGCATGGTGGGTGACACTGGGGCATGGTGGGTGACACAGGAGGTATGGTGGGTGGCCTGGGGCATGGTGGTGAAGTGGGGTGCACAGGAGGGTGTGGTGGGTGATGGGAGGCATGGTGGGTGTCTGCAGTGGGTGACACAGGTGTAGTGGGTGGCTGGAGGTATGGTGGGTGGGCACATGGTGGGTGAGCCTGGAGTTGTGGGTGACACAGGGGCATGGTGGGTGATACAGGAGGGCATGGTGGGTGACACAGGGTATGGTGGGTGACACAGAGGTGTTGGCACAGGGTTAGTGGGTGACACAGGGGCATTGGGTGATACAGGGGCATGGTGGGTGACACAGAGGGATGTGGGTGACACAGGTATAGTGGGTGATGCAGGAGGGTATGGTGGGTGACTGATGGGTGATGTGGGGCATGGTGGGTGAGTGCAGGTTCATGGTGGGTGACACAGACGTATCGTGGGTGACCTGGAGGTGTGGTGGGTGACACAGAGGGTATGTGGGTGACCTGGAGATTATAGTGGGTGACAGGGCATGGTGGGTGATGCAGGGCATGGTGGTGTGTGGGGTATGGTGGGTGACACAAATTTAATCGTGGGTGAGCACAGGGTATAGTAGGTTGACACAGGTGGGGTATGTGACTGGGGTATGTTGACACAGGGTATGGTGGGTGTCCTGGGGGCATGGTGGGTGACTGGGGTATGGTGGGTGACTGGAGGTGTATGGGTGACACGAGGTATGGTGGGTGATACAGAGGCATGGTGGGTGACACAGGTGATATGGGTGTACAGGGGCATGGTGAGGGTGACACAGAGGCATGGTGGGTGATGGGATGTGGTGGGTGATGGAGTGATACAGAGGTGTAGTGGGTGGAACAGAGGCATGGTGGGTGATCTGGAGGGCATGGTGGGTGACACAGGATATGGTGGGTGATGGAGGCATGGTGGGTGACACAGGAGGTATGGTGGGTGACACAGGGTATAGTAGGTGACCGAGGGTATGGTGGGTGACACAGGATGGTGGGGTGATACAGGGGGCATGGTGGGTGATGGGGCATGGTAGGTGATACAGAGGTATGGTAGGTGATACAGAGGCATGGTAGGTGATACAGAGGTATGGTAGGTGACACAGAGGCATGGTAGGTTACACAGAGGTATGGTAGGTGACACAGTGGCATGGTAGGTGATACAGAGGCATGGTAGGTGACACAGAGGTATGGTAGGTCACACAGTGGCATGATAGGTGATACATAGGCATGGTAGGTGACACAGAGGTATAGTAGGTGATACAGTACAGGTGGCCAGATATGCCCAGATTATCCCAGATAATTTTATATGTTGGTATTTCCCAGGTTATACTATAATACATTACAAGACCATATCCATGCTGAGTTATATGAAATTCCGAGTTATCAAATGCTGAGTTATCGAGGGTTTACTGTATATGGGTGTATGGGCATAACCCAGCTTATTTGGACTGTTTGTGGAAAATTAGACATTAGTCTGGTTGTTGAAAACTGTTTTCACTGACATGACTGTTTTGTAAAGTGTTTACCAATAGTATAAATAGCAGAAGTGCTTCTCCATGTGTACTGGGTAGGAGTGTGTCACCAACCAGGGCTGCCCAATCATACTCCCCCGTGGTGAGCAAAAAATCCCTATGACGAGTTAGATTAAAAATTCATGAGTCTGTCAGGCGAGTGATAATTTTGTGTCCTGCAAAAGTGAAGGAGACTTCTTAAGAAGATGCTACGATTTTGAAAGGTTTTTTATTGAACAGTTCTGCCTTGTGCATGAGAAGGCATGTATATTGATTAATACTCATCAGATGATGAAAGAGGTGCCATCTGCTCTCGTTGGTAAGGCAGGTGGGATGCTGTCGGAGGAAACGAGCTCCGTGACACTCACCCTGCATTGGGTGCCTGGGGATATTGGGGACTGCTGTGCATCTGGGAGACTTCTTTGGCCCCATTGGCTGATCCATTGTGATGACTGCCTGGTCTTAATGACTGTTTAACACCTCCTGGTTGAGTGCCCCAGTTTCTGAGATCTTTATAATAAGCACCTCTCCCAGTGCCCGGCGGGGATGGGTCTTTGGTGCTGGGGAGGAGTGGGTAGCGTGGGAAGGGATTTCCTCTCCTCCGTGAAGGAAGCCGGCCGTCTACACAAGCTTTAAGTTTTATCTATGAACGTTTAATGTTTTTTTATGAAAGTTCTGTTATTTATTACTAATGTTTTATACTTTACATTATTTAATTTTAGTCTTTTAAATTTTAATTTTAATTCAACAGGGATGTAATTCCCACAATCAGTTTAAAAGGGATATTATTCATTTTCTATTTACAACTTAAACATTACGTGGTTCTTCTCACACAGTAATTTATCATTAATGTTAACTGTACAGACTTAATATTACTGTAGAGACACGAGACAGTGATTTGGAAGGGGAAGCCACCGCAACACAAAACGTTTGTTGTAAACCACTAAAAGTTGACCTCAGTGAATGTAGGTAGCAAGGCACTGGTGATGCATATGAATGCTGGACTGAGACTGAGGCATGTGCCATGTGACACCCACACACACACGAACACACAAACCGTCCAGACTGATGGACAATTTTCCTGACTTTTTCAGTACTGTATTTCTGATAAATAGAGGGGCAGTCTGGAGCACCTTGGAGAGTGTGAGAAAAGCGAATTCCCTTATATACAATAGTCCGATTTATTGAGGCTCTACTTAATCCGTTCACCTATGAGAAAGGTTGTGTGTTAAACAACTTCCTATATGGAGGTAAATATAATCATGAGACAAGGAATGAAGGTTAATTCCTTTTTTGTTATTTCATTGTCAGCTTAATGTTTTATATGTTGATCCTAATATCATTATGTATACAGTATTAATATATAGTTTATAATCACAGGAAGTATGCAAGGGGAGAACATCCAGAGTGCCCGAGCGACTCTTCTCTTGTTCCTCAAGAGTTTACCCGCAGGATGTTTGTTCAACATCGTCAGCTTTGGCAGTACTTTCACCTTGCTCTTCCCTCAGTAAGTAAGATGACTAAAACATTTGGTGCCACATGGCCTGGGAGATTGTCTTTAACTTATTACATGGTGGTAACACATTTTTTATCACACAAATGGTGTGAAAATTATGACGTTGAACTAATAGTTTTGAACCAAATGAAAATAAACAATTTATATCACACCTTCAGCTTTAAGCCATATCCACTAATTCAGTTATTCACACCAACCCCACTGTCATTTATTATTAGATATACAGCGCAGTACAATACAGTACAGTACAGTACGGTACAGTACAGTACATTACAATACAGTACAGCACAGTACAGTATAGCACAGTACAGTACAGTACAGTACAGCACAGCACAGCACAGTACAGCACAGTACAGTACAGCACAGTACAGTACAGTACAGCACAGTACGGTACAGTACAGCACAGCACAGCACAGTACAGCACAGTACAGCACAGCACAGTACAGTACAGTACTGCACAGTACAGTACAGTATAGTACAGCACAGCACAGTACAGTACAGCACAGCACAGCACAATACAGCATTACAGGATATAGGCAAGCACTGGTTTGGTAATAGAGTTGTGGATATGTGGAATAGGCTACCGAGTGCTATAGTAGGATCGGGGACGCTGGGAGCTTCAAGACGAAGTTGGATAGGCACATGGAAGTGCTGGGATGTGAAAGGGATCTGCCCTGTATGGGCCAGTCGGCCTCCTGCAGTATCCCACTTTCTTATGTTCTTATGTCTACAGTACAATATTAGTACAGCATAGCAGTACAGCACAGTACAGTACAGTACAGCACAGTACACAGTACACAGCAGTACAGTACAGCACAGTACAGTACAGCACAGTACAGCACAGTACAGTACAGCACAGTACAGCACAGTACAGTACAGTACAGTACAGCACAGCACAGTACAGTACAGTACAGCACAGCACAGTACAGCACAGTACAGTACAGCAAAGTACAGTACAGTATAGTACAGTACAGCACAGTACAGTACAGTACAGTACAGTACAGTACAGTACAGTACAGTACAGTACAGTACACTTAGATATTGTAAAAAATGTTCATCAGTTGGTGTGTGTGTGTGTGTGTACAGCATTTGGAAGACAGGTGAGACGCCTTAAAGGCCTCCATGTTGCAGTAAATGATTCAGAACTGAGGTAAGTGCTGGTGTATTCTTAAAGCCTTTACAAATATTGTCAACCTCCTACATCTGTTGTGGTCAACAAGTTGCTGGTCAATAACACATAGTTGTTCCACCAACCACAGATGACTAGTTCACGTCTCTTTCGCTGGTGATATCACCCACTATCATGTCCAGACCAACACAACTGCAGCCATAGATCTCTCATTGTGCTCAATAAACTCTCTACTGGACTTTGAGTGGCGAGTAACAGACAACCTCAGAGGAAGTGACCACTACCCTATTCTACTTTCCTCCCCGGAAGTCCTTCTGACACCACGAGTTCCCTGTTGGGGGTTAGACAAGGAGGAATGGGACTTGTTGAAGGAACTAGTGAAGGTAGACGAGAGTACTGAAGAATTTCCCTCTGTAGATGAAGCAGTTGAATACTTAGCCAGCCTCCTCCAATGGGTTGCTCACTGCTCCATTCCTCGGACCTCTGGTCGTGTAGCTCGTCGACCTGTTCCTTGGTGGTTGGAGGAGTGCTGACAGGCAGTTGTTGAGCAGCACAGAGCTTATGGTCGCTATCGGGGTCATAAGACAGAATTTTATCCTGTGGAATGCAAACGGGCCAGAGCCCAAGCTTTTGGAGTCTTAAAGATTGCCCGTCACCAGTCTTTTTCTTCTTATCGCTCCTCTCTAACTGAAACGAGTGCAGAAAATAGCAGGCAAGTTTTCATCTAAACCTCCCCCAGTTCTCAGGGCTAATGATGGCAGCTCAGTTGCCACCCCTCAAGAAGTTGCAGAGGTTTTTGCCACAGCGTGTTGCAGGCGTGTCTTCTTGGCAGCTTGATCCTCGGAGTTTAAGCGGCTGTGTAGAGCAGAGCAGTCACGGGCCCTGGTTTTTGGAGTGGGACGTGGCGAGACATACAACATCAAGTTCTCATTGATAGAAATGTGAACCGCCCTCTCACTCACGGGAGATACATCACCAGGGCCTGATGATATCCCATTTTCAATGGTTCGCCAACATCTAGTCTGTGTTTTTTTCCCACCTAGAGAAAGCATATGACACAGCTTGGAGATTTGGCATCCTCAAGTAGCTTCACAATTTTGGTTTGCAGATAAATTTACCATCAATAATAGGATAGTTTTTGGGATGTCGCACTTTTAGGGTCCATGTAGCCACAAAAATTTCAGCAACACATATTCAAGAGGACAGGGTTCCTCAGGGCACTGTAATAAATGGAGTAGCAGCATTGGTTCCAGGTGGTGTATCAATCTCATTATATTTAGACGACTTGGCCATTTGGTATGCAGCTTCCCGCCTGTCAGTGGCTGAACGTTGCATGCAACTTGCACTAGACAAGGTTTCACGTTGGACCAAAGAGTATTGTTTCAGGTTTTCTCCCTTGAAAAACGTTGTCATGCAGTTCTGCCACCTTGGAGGTGTTCACCCAGATCCCAATATACTGTACAGCTTTATGATCCTCATGTGCGGTGAGTCAGACACCCGCTTCGTGGGGATTATCTCTTACAACCGGCTTACAGGGCAGCCACATATTAGTTACCTCAAAGAGTCTTGCCAGCGTGCTATCATGTTATTGAGAGTCTTGAGGCACAAGTCGTGGGGTGCTGACCCAGGAACTCTGCTGCACCTTTTCCACATGCTAGTTAGACCCCAACTGGATTGTGGGTGTGAGGTGTACTCCTGAGGCTAGACTCAACACTGAGCTCTATTCATGCCTTGGACCGGTGCCTTCAGGTCTTTGTCAATCCCAAGTCTGCTAGTTGATACTGATGAGCCACCCCTTGATCTTGGATGATAGTATCTCCAGGTCCAGTGTTGGTTTCTCCACCACCACCTTCCACAGTCTGTAACCAACACTTGTGTAGTTGACGAGTCTATGTCCCCACACTACACTCAGCACCCAAGCCTCCCACAAACCTTTTGGCTTCAGGGTAAGGAGGTTGTGAGTATTCATTACCTTCCTCCTGTTCAGATATGCCCCATGTGGTGCCCTAGTGCCGCTCTGTGGATTCTCTCTCAAGTTCAAGTGTGTCAGTATTTTAACAAAATGAAGGACTTACTCCCTCCCGGTGTGGTTCATTCTCTTTCCTTAGAGCATGTCTCCTCTCACACAGGGACTATCCCTATTTACACTGACGGCTCTAAGTCAGATGCAGGGCTGGGTTTTGGGGTGTCTTTTTCCGATTTCTGTTGGGACGGTACAGTAGTCTCCCCACTGTGGCATCTATTTTTACTGCTGGACTTTCGGTTATTTTACTTGCCTTCAAGAATATTTTTACCACAACCTCATCGCAATTTCAGAATTTTGGCAATTCTCGTAGTGCTCTCCAGGCCTAAGCTAGTGTCTCATCGCCACATCCCTTAGTTATAGATATTTTACAGTGGCTGTTTCTCATCCAACCTCGGGCCAAGAAAGTCAGTTTTTGCTGGGTTCTGGCCCATGTGAGGGCGAAGGGGAATGAGTGTGCAGCTGCCGTGGCAAAAGCAGCTGCTTCTCGCCCTGTGCCACATCATTCCACTCTACCTGCCGTTTGATATGAAGCCAGTAATAAGAGCTGCCATCACCTAGAGTTGGCAATGCAGGTGGGATGCTGTCGGAGCAAACAAGCTCCATGACATCCACCCTGCATTAGGTGCCTGGGGATATTGGGGGACTGTCACCCTGCCAGAAGACTGCTTTAGCCCGCCTCCGTATTGGCCACACACGGCTGACTCTTGTTTTTTTAATGTAGAGGTGCGCCCCCTCCCCATTGTGATGACTGTCTGGTCCCATTGGCTGCTCAACACCTGGTGGAGTGCCCCAGTCTCAGAGATCTTCATCGTAAGCACCTCTCCCAGTGCTGGGAGGAGGAGGAGGGTCTTACTGTCTCTCTTTGGTGCTGGGGGCGAGTGGGTGGCTTGGGATGGGACGCCCTCTTCTTCGTGGAGGAAGCCGGCCTTCTACACAACCTTTGAGTTTTATCTATTAACGTTTAATGTTTTTTTACAAAAGTTCTGTTATTTATTACCTATGTTTTTACCTTGCGTAATTTTATTTTAGTCTTTTAAGCCTTAATTTTAATTCGTTGACATATGACCTAAGCTGTGTAGTATTGTTTACAGTTTCATTTGGTGTTACAGTAGTTGTCTTGTGTCGCTGTAGTATTGTTTACAGTTTCATTTGGTGTTACAGTAGTTGTCTTGTGTCGCTGTAGTATTGTTTACAGTTTCATTTGGTGTTACAGTAGTTGTCTTGTGTCGCTGTAGTATTGTTTACAGTTTCATTTGGTGTTACAGTAGTTGTCTTGTGTCGCTGTAGTATTGTTTACAGTTTCATTTGGTGTTACAGTAGTTGTCTTGTATCGCTGTAGTATTGTTTACAGTTTCATTTGGTGTTACAGTAGTTGTCTTGTGTCGCTGTAGTATTGTTTACAGTTTCATTTGGTGTTACCTTCATTTCCTCATTGTTTGATTTTTCTCTTTAACAAATCCCAACTTTTTTTTTCTCAATAATATTTTTTGAACATTATGATATAGTTTTTGAATTTTCAGAGGAAGTCGTGAGTACAATGAAACCACTTTAGCAGAGGCTTGTGCACTCCAGGAAAATATGAATGCTAATATGGGAGGCACTGAGATTCTTCAACCCTTCAAGAGTATTTACTCTCAGCCCCCAAAGACCGGATATTCAAGACAAGTAAGTATGAAAAGGATACATTTATATGTGGCCATAATACACAGTGTTTACTCTCAGCCCCCAAAGACCGGATATTCAAGACAAGTAAGTATGAAAAGGATACATTTATATGTGGCCATAATATACAGTGTTTACTCTCAGCCCCCAAAGTCTTGATGTTTAGAAAATTAGAATAAGAAATGTTTGTACCTCCTGTAAAACCCTGAAGGACCATAGGATTATACATGTGTCCACCACCATACTGTGTGGAGGTTATACATGTGTCCACCACCATACTGTGTGGAGGTTATACATGTGTCCACCACCATACTGTGTGGAGGTTATACATGTGTCCACCACCATACTGTGTGGAGGTTATACATGTGTCCACCACCATACTGTGTGGAGGTTATACATGTGTCCACCACCATACTGTGTGGAGGGTATTATACATGTGTCCACCACCATACTGTGTGGAGGTTATACACGTGTCCACCACCATACTGTGTGAGGGTGTTATACATGTCCACCACCATACTGTGTGGAGGGTGTTATACATGTGTCCACCACCATACTGTGTGGAGGTTATACATGTGTCCACCACCATACTGTGTGGAGGTTATACATGTGTCCACCACCATACTGTGTGGAGGTTATACATGTGTCCACCACCATACTGTATGGAGGTTATACATGTGTCCACCACCATACTGTGTGGAGGTTATACATGTGTCCACCACCATACTGTGGGAGGTTATACATGTGTCCACCACCATACTGTGTGGAGGTTATACATGTGTCCACCACCATACTGTGTGGAGGTTATACATGTGTCCACCACCATACTGTGTGGGGAGGTTATACATGTGTCCACCACCATACTGTGTGGAGGTTATACATGTGTCCACCACCATAGGAGGTTACATGTGTCCACCACCATACTGTGGGAGGTTATACATGTGTCCACCACCATACTGTGTGGAGGTTTATACATGTGTCCACCACCATACTGTGTGGAGGTTATACATGTGTCCACCACCATACTGTGTGGAGGTTATACATGTGTCCACCACCATACTGTGTGGAGGTTATACATGTGTCCACCACCATACTGTGTGGAGGTTATACATGTGTCACCACCATACTGTGTGGAGGTTATACATGTGTCCACCACCATACTTGTGTGGAGGTTATACATGTGTCCACCACCATACTGTGTGGAGGTTATACATGGTCCACCACACTGTGTGGAGGTTATGTCCACCACCATACTGTGGGAGGTTACATGTGTCCACCACCATACTGTGTGGAGGTTACATGTGTCCACCACCATACTGTGTGGAGGTTATACATGTGTCCACCACCATACTGTGTGGAGGTTATACATGTGTCCACCACCATACTGTGTGAGGTTATACATGTGTCCACCACCATACTGTGTGGAGGTTATACATGTGTCCACCACCATACTGTGTGGAGGTTATACATGTGTCCACCACCATACTGTGTGGAGGTTAACATGTCCACCATACTGTGTGGAGGTTATACATGTGCACCACCATACTGTGGAGGTTATACATGTGTCCACCACCATACTGTGTGGAGGTTATACATGTGTCCACCAATACTGTGTGGAGGTTACATGTGTCACCCACATATGGTGGAGCATGTGTCCACCACCATACTGTGTGGAGGTTATATGTGTCCACCACCATACTGTGTGGAGTATATATGTCCACCACCACTGTGTGGAGGTTATACATGTGTCCACCACCATACTGTGTGGAGTTATACATGTGTCCACCACCATACTGTGTGGAGGTTATACATGTGTCCACCACCATACTGTGTGAGGTGTTATACATGTGTCCACCACCATACTGTGTGGGTGTTATACATGTGTCCACCACCATACTGTGTGGAGGTTATACATGTGTCCACCACCATACTGTGTGGAGGTGTTATACATGTGTCCACCACCATACTGTGTGGGTATACATGTGTCCACCACCATACTGTGTGAGGTTATACATGTGTCCACCACCATACTGTGTGGAGGTTATACATGTGTCCACCACCATACTGTGTGGAGGTGTTATACATGTCCACCACCATACTGTGTGGAGGTTATACATGTGTCCACCACCATGCTGTGTGAGGTTATACATGTTCCACCACCATACTGTGAGGTTATACATGTGTCCACCACCATACTGTGTGGAGGTGTTATATGATGTCCACCACCATACTGTGTGGAGGTTATACATGTGTCCACCACCATACTGTGTGGAGGTTATACATGTGTTCACCACCATACTGTGTGGGAGGTTATTCATGTGTCCACCACCATACTGTGGGAGGGTGTTATATGTGTTCACCACCATACTGTGGAGGTGTTATACATGTGTCCCACCATATGTGTGGAGGTGTTATATGTGTCCACCACCATACTATGTGGAGGTTCATGTTACCACCACACTGTGGAGGGTGTTATACATGTGTCCACCACCATACTGTGGAGGTTACATGTGTCCACCACCATACTGTTGGAGGTTATACATGTGACCACCAACCCACTGTGTGGAGGTTATACATGTGTCCACCACCATACTGAGTGGAAGTTATGCATGTGTCCACCACCACTGTGGGAGGTTATACATGTGTCCACCACCATACTGTCTGAGGTTATACATGTGACCACCACCATACTGTGTGGAGGTTATACATGTGTCCACCACCATTGAGTGAAGTTATGCATGTGTCCACCACCATACTGTGTGGGAGGTTATACATATATCCACCACCATACTGAGTGGAGGTTATATGTGTCCACCAATACTGTGTGGAGGCATGTGTCCACCACCATACTGAGTGAAGGTTATACATGTGTCCACCACCATACTGTGTGAGGTTATACATGTGTCAACCACCATACTGTGTGGAGGTTATACATTTATCCACCACCATACTGAGTGGAGGTTATACATGTGTCCACCACCATACTTGTGGAGGTGTTGTAAATGTGTCCACCACCATACTGTGTGGAGTTCATGTGTCCACCACCATACTATGTGGAGGGTGATACATGTGTTCACCACCATACTGTGGAGGGTATACATGTGTCCACCACCATACTGTGTGTGGAGGTGTTATACATGTGTCCACCACCATACTATGTGGAGGGTGTTATACATGTGTCCAACACCACACTGTGTGAGGGTGTTATACATGTGTCCACCACCATATCTGTGTGGAGGGTGTTAGACAAGTGTCCACCACCATACTGTGAGGGTGTTATACATGTCCACCACCATACTGTCTGGAGGTTATACATGTGACCACCACCATACTGTGAGGTTATGTGTCCACCACCATACTGGAGGGTGAGTGTCCACCACCACTGTGTGGAGGTTATACATATATCCACCACCATACTGAGTGGAGGTTATACATGTGTCCACCACTACTGTGTGGTATGACATGTGTCCACCACCATACTGAGTGAAGGTTATACTTGTGCACCACCATACTGTGTGGAGGTTATACATGTGTCCACCACCATACTGTGGAGGTTATACATTTATCCACCACCATACTGGAGGAGGTTATACATGTGTCCACCACCATACTGTGTGAGTGTTGTAAATGTGTCCACCACCTGCTACTGTGTGGAGGTTATTCATGTGTCCACCACCATACTATGTGGAGGGTGTTATATGTTCACCACATACTGTGTGGAGTGGTGTTATATGTGTCCACCACCACACGGTGTGAGGGTGTTATACATGTGTCACCACCATACTATGTGGAGGGTGTATACATGGTCCACCACCACACTGTGTGTGTGATGCATCACACCATACTGTGTGGGAGGGTGTTAGACAAGTGTCCACCACCATACTATGTGGAGGTGTTATACAAGTGTCCACCACCATACTGTGTGGAGGTTTATATGTGTTCACCACCATACGGTGTGGGAGGTTATACATGTGTCCACTACCTACTGTGCGGAGGTTGATCATGTGTCCACCACCATACTGTGGAGGGTGTATTCCACCACCATACTGTGTGGAGGGTGTTGTCCACCACCATACTGTGTGGAGGGTGTTGTCCACCACCATACTGTGGAGGTTATTCATGTGTCCACCACCATACTGTGTGGAGGGTGTTATATGTGTCCACCACCATACTGTGGAGGGTGTTATACATGTGTCCACCCCATACTGTGTGAGGGTGTTATGTGTCCATCACCATACTGTGTGGAGGGTGTTATACAAGTGTCCACCACCATACTGTGTGGAGGGTGTTATACATGTCCACCACCATACTGTGTGGAGGCGTGTCCACCACCATACTGTGTGGAGGGTGTTATACTTGTGTCCACCACCATACTGTGTGAGGAGTGTTATACATGTGTCCACCACCATACTGTGTGGAGGATACATGTATCCACCACCATACTGTGTGGAGGGTGTTATACAAGTGTCCACCACCTTACTGTGTGAGTGTTATATGTGTCACCACCATACTGTGAGTGGTGTTATATGTGTCCACCACCATACTGTGTGGAGAGTGTTATACATGTGTCCACCACACCATACTATGTGGAGGGTGTTGTACATGTGTTCACCACCATACTGTGGGGAGGGTGTGTTATAGTGTCCACCACCATACTGTGTGGAGGGTGTTATACATGTGTCCACCACCACACTGTGTGGAGGGTGTTATACAAGTGTCCACCACCATACTGTGGAGGGTGTTATATATGTGTCCACCACCTCATACTGTGTGGAGGGTGTTATAAAGTGTCCACCACCACTGTGTGAAGGGTGTTATACATGTGTCCATCACCATACTGTGTGGAGGGTGTTATACAAGTGTCCACCACCATACTGTGTGGAGGTGTTATACATGTGTCCACCACCATACTGTGTGGAGGGTGTTATACATGTGTCCACCACCATACTGTGTGTGTGTTATATATGTCCACCACCACTGTGTGTGAGGGTGTTATACAAGTGTCCACCACCATACTGTGTGGAGAGTGTTATACATGTGTCCACCACCATACTGTGTGGAGGTGTTATACAAGTGTCCACCACCATACTGTGGAGGGTGTTATACATGTCCACCACCATACTGTGTGGAGGTGTTATACATATGTCCACCACCATACTGTGTGGAGTGTGTTATACAAGTGTCCACCACCATACTGTGTGGAGTGTGTTGTACATGTGTCCACCACCATACTGTGTGGAGGTTATACATGTGTCCACCACCATACCGTGTGGAGGTTATACATGTGTCCTCCACCATACTGTGTGGAGGGTGTTATACAAGTGCCCACCACCATACAGTGTGGAGGGTGTTATACATGTGTTCACCACCACACTGTGCGGAGGGTACTATACTGTACATGTGTCCACCACCACACTGTGCGGAGGGTGTCACATGTGTCCACCACCATACTGTGTGGAGGGTGTTATACATGTGTTCACCACCACACTGTGCGGAGGGTAGTATACTGTACATGTGTCCACCACCACACTGTGCGGAGGGTGTCATACATGTGTCCACCACCATACTGTGTGGAGGGTGTTATACATGTGTCCACCACCATACTGTGTGGAGGGTGTCATACATGTGTCCACCACCACACTGTGTGGAGGGTGTTGTCCACCACCACACTGTGTGGAGGGTGTTGTCCACCACCACACTGTGTGGAGGGTGTTGTCCACCACCACACTGTGTTATACATGACTGCCCTTATTACTTTTAACAGTTATGACTCAGTGTTTTGTGTTACAAGAGTCTGCTGACACAAGTAGAACTAAAGCTCTTTATTAAGGAAGGTACTGTAATAGTCTTATAGTATCTTACCTTATACTGTACTGTACATGTTGAGAAATATGTTAGGTTACCTTATACTGTACTGTACATGTTGAGAAATATGTTAGGTTACCTTATACTGTACTGTACATGCTGAGAAATATGTTAGGTTACATTGTACTGTACTGTACATGTTGAGAAATATGTTAGGTTACCTTATACTGTACTGTACATGTTGAGAAATATGTTAGGTTACCTTATACTGTACTGTACATGTTGAGAAATATGTTAGGTTACCTTATACTGTACTGTACATGTTGAGAAATATGTTAGGTTACCTTATACTGTACTGTACATGAAATATGTTAGGTTACCTTATACTGTACTGTACATGTTGAGAAATATGTTAGGTTACATATACTGTACTGTACATGTTGAGAAATATGTTAGGTTACCTTATACTGTACTGTACATGTTGAGAAATATGTTAGGTGTTTTATTATAACTGTGTTTTATTCAACTTCAGGTTCTCTTGATCTCTGATGGGAGTGTGTGGAATGTGGCACAGGTGACTCAGCTGGTGGGACGTCACGCTCATGAAACTAGAGTGTTTGCTGTGGGTATTGGTCATGGGGCTTCTACTGCCCTCATACACGGTGTGGCCAGAGCTGGTGGGGACGATCTGAGATGGTCATCCAGCAGGATAAACTTCAGCACAAAGTAAGAGATTGTGTCCACTGATGACACTCTCTCAGTCACCTCAGTGTCCACACCTCTGTCCTCACCCTCACCTCAATGGTCCACACCTCTGTCCTCACCCTCACCTCAATGGTCCACACCTCTGTCTTCACCCTCTCAATGGTCCACCTGTCCTCACCCCTCACCTCAATGGTCACACCTGTGTCCTCACCCTCACCTCAATGGTCCACACCTGTGTCCTCACCCTCACCTCAATGGTCCCACACCTCTGTCCTCACCCCTCACCTCAATGGTCCCACCTCTGTCCTCACCTCACCTCAATGGTCCCACACCTCTGTCTCACCCTCACCTCAATGGTCCCACACCTCTGTCCTCACCCCTCACCTCAATGGTCCCACCTCTGTCCTCACCCTCACCTCAATGGTCCACACCTCTGTCCTCACCCTCACCTCAATGGTCCACACCTCTGTCCTCCTCCCTCACCTCAATGGTCCACACCTCTGTCCTCACCCCTCCTCAATGGTCCACACCTCTGTCCTCACCCTCACCTCAATGGTCCACACCTCTGTCTCACCCTCACCTCAATGGTCCCCACCTCTGTCCTCACCCTCACCTCAATGGTCCACCTCTTCCTCACCCCTCACCTCAATGGTCCCACACCTCTGTCCTCACCCCTCACCTCAATGGTCCACGTGTCTGTCCTCACCCTCACCTCAATGGTCCACCTCTGTCCTCACCCTCACCTCAATGGTCCACCTCTGTCCTCTCCCTCACCTCAATGGTCCATGTGTCTGTCTCACCCTCACCTCCCAGTCCCTGTCCTCACCCCCCCCTCAATGGTCCCACCTGTGTCCTCACCCCTCACCTCAATGGTCCCACCTCTGTCCTCACCCCTCCCCTCAATGGTCCCTCTGTCTCACCCTCACCTCAATGGTCCACACCTCTGTCCCTCACCCCTCACCTCAATGGTCCACACACACCTATTCCTCACCCCTCACCTCAATGGTCCACACCTCTGTCCTCACCCTCACCTCAATGGTCCACACCTCTGTCCTCCCCCTCACCTCAATGGTCCACCTCTGTCCTCACCCTCACCTCAATGGTCCACACCTCTGTCCTCACCTCACCTCAATGGTCCACACCTCTGTCTCACCTCACCTCAATGGTCCACACTCTGTCCCTCACCCCTCACCCCACGGTCCACACCTCTGTCCTCACCCCCACCTCAATGGTCCACACCCCTGTCCTCACCTCACCAATGGTCCACACCTGTCCTCACCTCACCCTCAATGGTCCACGTTCTGTCCCCACCCCACCCCATGGTCCACACCTGTCCCCACCCCACCCCCAATGGTCCACACCTCTGTCCTCACCCTCACCCTCAATGGTCCACATGTCTGTCCTCACCCTCACCCCAATGGTCCACACCTCTGTCCTCACCTCACCTCAATGGTCCACACCTCTGTCCTCACCTCACCTCAATGGTCCACACTCTGTCCTCACCTCACCTCAATGGTCCACACCTCTGTCCCCACTCACCCCAATGGTCCACACCTCTGTCCTCACCCTCCTCACCCCCAATGGTCCGACCTTGTCCTCACCCTCACCCCAATGGTCCACGCCCTGTCCCTCACCCCACCCCAATGGTCCACACCTCTGTCCCACTCCCACCCTCAATGGTCCACACTCTGTCCTCACCTCCTCACCCCAATGGTCCACACTTGTCCTCACCCCACCTCAATGGTCCACACCTCTGTCCTCACCTCACCTCAATGGTCCACACCTCTGTCCTCACCTCACCTCAATGGTCCACACCTCTGTCCTCACCTCACCTCAATGGTCCACACTCTGTCCTCACCTCACCTCAATGGTCCACACCTCTGTCCTCACCCTCACCCCACTGGGTCCACACCTCTGTCCCTCACCTCACCAATGGTCCACACCTCTGTCCTCACCCCACCCCAATGGTCCACACTCTGTCCTCACCCTCACCTCAATGGTCCACGTTCCTGTCCTCACCTCACCCCAATGGTCCACACTCTGTCCTCACCCCTCACCTCAATGGTCCACACCTCTGTCCCTCACCCCACCCCAATGGTACACCTTCCCCCACCCCACTGGTCACACCTTTCCCTCCCCTACCTCAATGGTCCACACTCTGTCCTCACCCCACCTCAATGGTCCACACCTGTGCTCACCTCTCACCTCAATGGTCCACACCTCTGTCCTCACCTCACCCCACGGTCCATGTGTCTGTCCCCACCTCACCCTCAATGGTCCACACCTCTGTCCCCTCCCTCACCTCAATGGTCCACACCTCTGTCCCCACCCCCACCTCAATGGTCCACACCCCTGTCCCCACCCCAATGGTCCACACTCTGTCCCTCACCTCACCCCTATGGTCCATGTGTCTGTCCTCACCCCACCTCAATGGTCCATTGTCTGTCCTCACCCCCACCTCAATGGTCCCACCTCTGTCCCCACCTCACCCTCAATGGTCCACACCTGTCCTCACCTCACCTCAATGGTCCACACTCTGTCCTCACTCCCTCACCTCAATGGTCCACACTCTGTCCTCACCTCACCTCAATGGTCCACACTCTGTCCTCACCCCACCTAATGGTCCACACTCTGTCCCACCTCACCCCAATGGTCCACACTCTGTCCTCACCCTCACCCTCAATGGTCCACACCTCTGTCCTCACCTCACCTCAATGGTCCACACTCTGTCCTCACCCCCACCCTCTACCACACCTCTGTCCTCACCCTCACCTCAATGTTCCACGTCTGTCCTCACTCTACTTCAATGGTCCACACCTCTGTCCCACCACCCCAATGGTCCACACTCTGTCCTCACCTCACCTCAATGGTCCACACCTCTGTCCTCACCCCCACCCCAATGGTCCACACCTCTGTCCTCACCCCTCACCTCCAATGGTCCACACTCTGTCCTCACCCCCACCTCAATGGTCCACACCTCTGTCCTCACCCTCACCCTCAATGGTCCACACCTCTGTCCTCACCCTCACCTCAATGGTCCACACCTCTGTCCCTCACCCCTCACCCCAATGGTCCACACTCTGTCCTCACCCCACCTCAATGGTCCACACCTCTGTCCTCACCCTCACCCTCAATGGTCCACACCTCTGTCCTCACCTCACCCCAATGGTCCACACCTCTGTCCTCACCCCTCACCCTCAATGGTCCACACCTCTGTCCTCACCCCACCTCAATGGTCCACACTCTGTCCTCACCTCACCTCAATGGTCCACACCTCTGTCCCTCACCCTCACCTCAATGGTCCACACCTCTGTCCTCACCTCACCTCAATGGTCCACACCTCTGTCCCCCTCACCTCCCCAATGGTCCACACCTGTCCCCACACCCCTCACCCCACTGGTCCACACCTCTGTCCTCACCCCCTCACCCCAATGGTCCACACCCTGTCCTCACCCCACCCCTCAATGGTCCACACCTCTGTCCCCACCCCTCACCTCAATGGTCCACACCTCTGTCCCCACCCCCTCACCCTCAATGGTCCACACCTGTCCCTCACCTCACACCTCAATGGTCCACACCTCTGTCCTCACCTCACCCTCAATGGTCCCACACTCTGTCCTCACCTCACCCTCAATGGTCCACACTCTGTCCTCACCCCCACCCCAATGGTCCCACACTCTGTCCCCACCCTCACCTCAATGGTCCACACCTCTGTCCTCTCCCTCACCTCAATGGTCCACCTCTGTCCTCACCCTCTGGTCTGTCCTCACCTCACCTCAATGGTCCACACCTCTGTCCCTCACCCCTCACCCCAATGGTCCACACTCTGTCCTCACCCCTCACCTCAATGGTCCACACCTCTGTCCCTCACCCTCACCTCAATGGTCCACACCTCTGTCCTCACCCCCACCTCACGGCCACACTCTGTCCTCACCTCACCCAATGTTCCACACCTCTGTCCCCACCCCCACCTCAATGGTCCACACCTCTGTCCTCACCTCACCTCACAATGGTCCACACTCTGTCCTCACCCCTCACCTCAGTGGTCCACACCTCTGTCCTCACCCCACCTCAATGGTCCACACCTGTCCTCACCTCACCTCAATGGTCCACACCTCTGTCCCCCCTCACCTCACATGGTCCACACCTCTGTCCTCACCCCCCACCTCAATGGTCCACACCCCGTCCTCACCTCACCTCAATGGTCCACACCTCTGTCCTCACCCTCACCTCAATGGTCCACACCTCTGTCCCTCACCCCTCACCCCATGGTCCACACCCTCTGTCCTCACCCTCACCCCAATGGTCCACACCTCTGTCCTCACCCCCACCTCATGGTCCACACTCTGTCCTCACCTCACCTCAATGGTCCACATTCTGTCCTCACCCTCACCTCCAATGGTCCACACCTCTGTCCTCACCTCACCTCAATGGTCCACACCTCTGTCCTTCCTCACCCGGTCCATTGTCTGTCCCTCACCTCAATGGTCTCTACTCTGTCCCACCCTCACCCCCAATGGTCCACACCTCTGTCCCTCACCTCACCCTCAATGGTCCCACCCTCTGTCTCACCCCCACCCCCAATGGTCCACACTCTGTCCTCACTCCTCACCTCAATGGTCCACACCTGTCCCCACACCTCAATGGTCCACACCTGTCCTCACCCCTCACCAATGGTCCCATTCTGTCCCCACCTCACCCAATTGTCCACACCTCTGTCCTCACCCTCACCTCAAGGTCCACACCTCTGTCCTCACCCCTCACCTCAATGGTCCACACCTCTGTCCTCACCTCACCTCAATGGTCCCACCTCTGTCCTCACCTCACCTCATGGTCCACACCTCTGTCCTCACCCCTCACCTCAATGGTCCACACCTCTGTCCCCACCCTCACCTCAATGGTCCCACACCTCTGTCCTCACCCTCACCTCAATGGTCCACCCTCTGTCCCCACCCTCACCCCATCCCCTCTGTCCTCACCCTCACCCCAATGGTCCACACTCTGTCCTCACCCCACCTCAA